TTATTGAGAATATTAACTGCAATTTATCACTAAATTAAGGGACACCGTATTGAGTTCTCAAATTTAAAACTAAATTCCATGCCAAACTTAACAGTTTAAAAGTATCCAAAGGTATGTATATTATGACTAAATCAGAAGTTTTATAATGTACCTAAACTTTTTCTACATCCTCCCCATAATATATTTATAATATTACTAAGTATTATTATATTTTTATTATGCATGTCTATTAATATAATTCATAGAATTAATAAAATTTAGTTATTATATTAATTTATAATATTTTGTATTTTTATAAATAAAAATTATAAACAATTTAAAAGATACGAGAGAAATGAAAGAAAATAATTCTTATTTTGGCCCATACTCATCTTTTGTTAATTTCATGGTTGTTATTGTTATCATATTTCTTTTTAAAAAAATTTATAACATATTATCAGTATGATTCAATTCTAATATTTTTTTTATATATGGTTTTAATTCTTTTTCTATTCGAATATACTTTACTCATTTAATGATTTTAGTATATATATATATATATAAATGTTATTTTTTTAATTAAATTTTTGTTTTATCTTTTAATTAGATTACCAATATATTTATTTTAATTAATTTCTTATCTTCATAATTTTATTTTGGGTTAATATATTTGGTGATATTTTGTAATAACTTTATCATGACAGACTTTACAAAGTTTGAATTTTTTGCCATTGGCGTTATGGGTAAGAATTATTATTATGGATATTTGATGTTAAAATTTATTTTAGATATTATGAGTTTTATAGATACAATAAAAAAAAGAAAAAGAAAGAGAGAATAATGCATCAATCCAAAATCATGCCAAAGATAATGATTCCCTTCATCACCCTCTTCAAAAAGGATTGAAAAAATTGAATATTTTATACTAAAATATCAAATTGAACTTACAGAAACTTAAGAGAATGTCATGACTATAAAAAAAATATTAATTCTTTCAAAACCACATTATGCTTTGATCCATTTAAGATTGCAAGAATTTAAAATTATGGGTACATAATTTTGCAATAGGTACATAATTTTGTAATAATATACATAAGTTCTCAATTAAAATCGTGCGAGAAAATATTACTGATAAAGATATGTTAAAATTTTTTTTTCTATTTTTCATGTCTCAAATATGATTTGCAGCAGTAATATCAGAGAAAAAGTTATAAAAAATATTTCGAACTAATTTCATATATTCTTTTGGCTAGATTAAATAATAAGTTACTAATAAACAATTATAGATCTCATCTAATTTGTTCTATTCCATTCTTTGAAAGTAAGTATGATAACTATTAATAATTTTGAACGTGGATGGTATCATGGTCTTCATAGTTATAGGCGTAGATATAATTAAAAAAATAAATATTATAAAAGTGATCATAATAGTAATTCTCTTTAAAATATCATATCCAACGTACGTAAAAAAAAAACTATAAAAGAAAGAAAAAAATTAATATTATAGTAATCAAAATAATATATAAAAAAATATATTATCAAGATGGCATGAAAAAACATTTATCTCGTATTCATTGTATGTCAAAATATTTAGTTAATCTTTATCAAACTTAATTAAAAAAAATGAGAGGATATAGGGATAATTTTTATTTTCTCAAAATAATATTTTCGATCAAAGATTTTATCAATATGACACATTTTGATATAGATGACTTTTTTAAAAATATATAAACAATCATTAATGACTAATTTAGAAATATAAATGCCACAAAAATAATTAGCTATCTCTCATATTATTTTGTTATTTTTTCTTAAATTATTTGTTATTCAGATTAAAATATTAATGTATGTTGGACGATCTTTTAATCTTCAATTTAACTTATGAACGCTTCTTAACATTTAATTAGGGTTAAATAAAAGAACAAAATTACATGTTTAATTGATAGTGCATTAATACATGTCATATTAAAAGATTAAAAAATATTTTCTCACTTAATACCAGACGAAGCCAATGTTAGTACAATATGTAGTAGTAAGAAATTGTTAATGGCTCAGGAATCGCTAATATATTATCATTTGGAGAACAAATATATTTATAAATAATACATTATTATCTTGTAAATATAAAAAGAATTATTAAGTTTTAAGGATATTTGTTGAAATGGATATCATATTAAGATATATAATAAAAAAAAATAGTTCATACCTTCGTATTACGAGTATTTTGTTCGATCAGAAACATCTAACAGAAAATTAATTTATTAATTCAAATCTTTTTTAGAGTTTACTATGATCGATTATGACATTCTGTTTTAATAATAATTCATAGAATAATTAAGAATTCATATAAATTTATATAAAAGAATCAGAAGATTTTTAAATCAAATGCGTTTTTATGTGCTAGTTGTTTTTAGAAAAAATTAATTATTAAGTTGTAATAAGCCAAAATTGGGATTAATCCCCTACATTACATTTGTGGAAAGAATACAATGAGATATATGTGGGCCAATAATCCACCATGTGGACAATTTAGGTATCTTATGTTTTTAATAGATACATTTATAAAATCGTCACGTGTATTTATTATCAACTCACAACTTACAATTTGGGAAGTTACTCAAATAACATTGTTAATATTCATACCATGTATCAACAAAGATAACACGTGATCTTTTTTATTGTACATATTTTTTTACGGTTAGTTGCCACGTGTAGTTTGACATGACAACTAATGTGACGATTATTTTATTTTAGATTAATTTAAAATGGTCTAAAATTATAAAAAAATCAAATCTTAATTCCCTAAATCCTCAAACATGAAGCCTTCTTCTTCTTCCCATGTTCCCCCCCATCTTTGTCGTTGGGACACATTCTTCGCTTCCAATGAACGGTGGTCACCTCCACAATCGTAAAAGCTTATTCATTTCTCTTTCCAAACCTCAAAAAAACCACACTTTGTGAAGTTTTCTCATTTTTTTTCTAAAACATGAACACCAAAACTAGAGACATTTTCCTCTCTTCCTCCTCCCTTTTATAATATGCATAGTCTGGCAAGAGGAATTTTTTCAAAAATCCAAAGCTTAAGAAGTTGAAAAACTCGAAGCTTATTTATTCATCTGCAAATCCGATGCATATTTTTATTCATTTGCAAACCTGAAATTTCTTCATTTTTCTTATTTTTTTAAATCACACACAATACTACAAAGAGTTTATTAGGCAAAAACTCAAAACTTAAGAAGTGAAGAACTCAGAAGCTTCAAACAAGCCCCATCTTCTAATAAGTAATCTTCTCTCCACCATATGCATAAAAAAGGTAATAAAATGGTGCATTATTTTTTCAAAGGATGTATTGGTTCTTTCAAGTCAACAAAAAATAAGAAGGAAGGCTTATAGAAATAAAGGAGACCATGGACGATAGAGATTGTAGGGAGCGTGGGAGGAAGAAGAAAGAGAGGAAGGTTTCGAATTTGAGGATATAGAGTATGGATTTGATTTTTTTTTTTTTAATCTTATATCAGTTCAGACCAATATAAAGTAAAATAAGTGTTCTATTAGCTACCATAAATGTCTCATTAACTACCATATCATGTCACACGTTGCACTTAATTTGGAGAAGTCATCTTGTAGGGAAATATCACATGTCAATTTTGGTGATATGAAACACAAATCTTAATAGTGTTAAGTATCACAGATGGAGAATGTTTAAATTGAATATTTTTTGAAAGACAAATATTAATAATATTAAATACCTATTAAATGTTTTTGAAAGTAGGGAGACAAAATTAACATAAAGACAGAAACTAAATTGAACCAAAATAAATAATAAAATTACCATAAATTTGTTTTAGCTGAAATTTATATATATTACAACAAAACCAGAAATTTATAATTTATCTAAAATTTTTTACATTGTTTTTCCCAAAATTTTTAATTGGAAAAAAATTTATTTTCAACAAATAATTGCTTACTTACTAAATACATGCATTTTTTTTATAAAAATTAATATAAAATATATAAGTATATTTCAACTTCTAAAAATATAATTTTTTTTCTTCTCAAATACAATATGACTATATAAATTGTATTTCAATACTACCATTGCTAGTGAACACAAATGTTTTGTATAATATTTTATTAAAAAAATAATCTATTGAATACTAGCCACATGGAGTCTTAAGTCTAAAATTGTATCTACCAACCAAAATCTCCTGAAAGAGGAAAGCCAGCACAACTTCAAAAATCTCATGTGCAAACTGGTATGGCGGAAAATCATCTCCACACTTTTGCACTTGAGACTACATGGAAATTTTGCCAATACAAGAATTATTTGCAAGGTATCATATCAATTTGCCACTTAGAATGGCCTACTGCAAGCAGAGAAGGATTTTAAAAAATTATCACTATAGTCAGCATCCTCATAAAGGTTATTGACTGCAATTATGAGCACTCTTGTGTAGCGGCCAACTTATAAAGAACATTCTGCCAGGAATATAGCATCGATATGAACAAGGACCCAGCAATATCATATCATCCTTGTGCTGTTCAGGTCTATTTAGCAGGGTCATAGGCCAGGACAACACATAGGATATGCCCAAAAGATAAAAGCTAGCCTGCTCAAACCCCCTCCTCCTTGCTAAACAGACAGAGTACATGCTAACTCTCCCAAAGGAGGATGATAGGTCATCCTTACCACTTAAGCATTCATGCCTCTTGGAAACAAGACCTACTTTCAAATGCAACTTAAGTTTAGAATCGTCCGTTCAACTAGAAAGATTTCTTGAAGCCTATACTGACTTTGTCCAGAACCTTATGAAACTTTATACCATTTTGAGGTCAAGATCTTAAAAGTGACTCATCTATACAAACTCAAATATCAACCTCAATACTCAGTAGTTTATTGTTGAATATAAACATCACCTATGAAGGCTTTGTTTTCCGTCCAATGTGCGATATTCGCTGGAGCTCTTGAGTTCCCTTCCTCATCTCTCTGCAAAATGTAATGAAAAATATTTCAGAACTGTTGCAAAAGCTTGACCAAGAAGAAAAACTTCTTAGACCACAAATAATACCTTTGATGCAAACAGACCACCAGATAGAAAACAGGGAGCAGCATCATACTCAGTATTGCAATAGCAAGGTACAAAACACTTGATTGCTTCTGCACAGATGAAATATGGACTTACGTGCTAGAAAATAATGAAAACATAAATTGAAAATCGTTATAAGTCATGTTCACAATGGATCCCACCAGAGAGACAACTGATAACTTTTTAGAATATTAGAAACCAAATAAAACTTCTAGCCAATTTAGTGTGATAACTTGCCAGTGCACTGTCAATCTCTTAAATTTGGGAATTCTTCCTCGAAAACCAAAATAAAGAAGTTAGGTAGAAAGGTCACATTTAACAGAAGAACATTTTCTTGATTAGCTATGCTGATGCACGCAATAGCATGAAAACTGACAGTAGGTTTACGTGGATAATTTAGCTATGATCTGACCTCTAACCCAGAATGCAAACTACAACAACGAAACTCCCCGTATATTACCTTGCCACCTCTAGGAAAAAGTTTTCTCTTCCCCGAGCAAGTGTGAGCATCACAAAATTGGCGCAAAAACAATTCTTCAAGTACATGAGGAAAAACCATGAGCAGAAGAAATTAACTTCAATATGAGATTATTTTTTAGCATGCTAATATCAGGCTATGACCATAATAAAAGGAAAAATAAGATGATTGCAATTCTTCTTTTAGATCTAAAAAGTACCATGAAGACGACTTGCTGAGAGACCCTGATTAATTGGAAAGCAGCTATCTGCAAGACTCTGCATGTAAAGCAGTCTGCATATTAAACATGGAAACACACTTGTATCAACTTTCCAAGCAAACTAGTATATTAGAATCCAAACTAACCTCACAAAGGTGGCGATTTTTTGCAATAGCTGCAGGGTTGCACTTGGTCTTTGGTGTCTTTGATTTTAAAACAAAATCACAATGCAGTGCACCACATAAGTCGGCCAAGCACTTGGAATGAGTCTGAATTCATTAACTTTTGTTATACATCAACACAAGCCTCTTTTTAACCAAAAGAAAAGAGGATGGATCAAGTTGTTATCGAGATAATAATATCTTGTAAGGAGTTTGTAAAGAACTGCAGTCCTTCTATTGGGCGTTTTCTACTCAAATTAAGGATAAAAGTATGCCATCACGAAATTGAGAAACAAACTAAGTTTAAAAGAATTGAAAAAAGAAAACAAGAACAAGCAACATTAGCTCAACAAGTGATCTTGTGATTTATATATATATATATATATATACATATAGATATTTACCATAACTATTTTAACTTGCTAACCAAGACTTCAGTAAATAAAAGGAAAAACACAAAATAGATGGTGATGCTCAATCTTAATTCACATTTTGAAAGGATATCCTTATTCAACCAAATTGTGCAGTGATAAAGTAATATGAGAAAATCACTAAAAAGAAACTACAGATACCTGTCCAAAAAATTCAAATAAGTGCTACTTCAGTTAATTTTTATTTTAACACAGGTAGTATATAAAGAAAATGCCTAAAAATCCAAGACAGAAGACAAAATTTCGAATTGGTACCAAAAGACATGGTTTTGAATGAAGCAAACCACCATATGCCCAAAAAAAATTCAAGTTTTTCATGCTACAATGAAAGAACAGGAAGCTTCAAATTTCAAACCGAGACAAGGAACCAGAGTCCACATACAATGTTCAGAAGATTGTAGTGTCTGTTGTCAAAATGCTGATCAAGGAATTTTTCAGCACGGAAGCTTTTTTTACAGTATCCACACCGCCATTCATTTATATCCACATGAATCTTGTGTTCCTCCTGATCTCTAAACATATCATTGTTGCGATGAAGTCTACATTTTCTTGAAAGTTCATATTTTTCTCTTTCCATGAATGGCACCAAATGCTGGACAAAAGGCTCAGCCAAACAGTCATTAACACATTCATAGTCAATGAAATCACAATGAATTTTTCATAAGCCTAAAATATAAGTCTCCCCTTACATCCTCTATAATCTGCCACGCTGCCCTACTTCTTTCCCTGGAACAATGTAGTTCATGAATGTGCTCCTCTTCTTGCTTGAGAGTTCTAAACATAAGCAAAGTTCTAAGATAAGTAGAATTATATTTTCCGTAACCCCAAAAGTATGTTCTTCATAATAAAAGAGACTTTAACAAATCAAAACATAATAACGCTTAAAGTTAATTAATGCATTTATGAATTAACCTTCGAATTTCATTTCAAAATCCCATGACATGCTTTATTATAGTTACCTTACAGCTCCAGATTCCCCAATATCCTGTGCACAAAGTGAAAAGACAGAAGGAAAAATACAGAGTGAGATCCTGAGACCCAGCAGTGAACATGTCAACAACTTATATCCTAATTTCATCCAACAAATCAAACATAAAAATGAAATATATAAGATATTTCCTCGTAGAATATATAATATTAGCTCCATGCTTTATTATATATGATATGGTACTTCCGTTTAGAATATATAATATTATTTCATGGAAGTAGCTCCACGAGCTATATATATGATATGATATTTAAGTAACGAAATTTATGTGCATGTATACCTATAATTGAGGAGAACGAGAAGTGAAATTAATACCTGGGATACTGTTTGTTGAAAGAAGACAGATATCAACAGAAGAATCCAGGTAACTGCTTTTCCTCCTTCCATCCTGTTTCTAATCAAATTGTATAAAGAAAATTGGGGGGTTTCCCTGCAAAAGAATTTATTGGGACGCTAAATCACTATCTAGGAAGAACAGATGCAATCCTGATATGCAATTTAAAACACATCCCTTTAACTGAAACTTCACCAAACTCTAAAAAAGCATAAAAGTAAACCAACCATGAATTTGATCAAAGTCCAAGAAATTTCCGTGAATGAAAAAAAAAAACACAATACCGTGTATCAAACACTCCTATTTTCCATGAATCGGCCCCCAACGGGTTTAGAATATAAAAGTATGAGAGATTACCCGTTCGAAAAGAAAAGGAGCTGATGCGAAACTTGCAGCTATACTGATCTGAAGAGGCGCCAAACTGAACCTCTGATGAAAAGAGCAGCAAGGAAGGGTTGGGAGGCCGTGTTTGACTCCTGAAGGCAAATGTTCAGGATGATGGCCTGCGTGACCCGAGGGAACACCTACGAGACCACGCGGACGAAGAAGGTCCAGCCCCGGTCTCAGCTCTTTCTCGTGGAAGGAAGGAAGGAAGGCCTTTTGATTTGCCAGAGAGAAGATGCAAGGGAGAGATATTCAGAGAGAAGCGAGCATGACAGCGGGTGGGAGTAGAGATTAGAGAGCGCGGTGCTCAAAACTAGGCAAGATTGAGAACTAAAGATAATGAACTCAGAAAAAACAGATTTAGTGACAAAAAATTAACATGAGAGTGAATTGTTACCTAAAATTATAGGGATGAAATTTTCTTTTTGCAGTATCAAAGTCTGTTTATTTTTTATAAAAATTATAGTTTTAAACCAACCAAATTTATTTTTTAATTGCGTTAATTTCATAAATTTTAAATTATATTATTTTTTATATTTTCTAGTTAAACAATATAAATCTTAAAAATATTTAAAAATATTTTTTTTTCATAACCTTATGACCAAAATAATAATAGCAAAAAATAACCCACAAATTATTTTTTGATCGGATAAGGATAATTAATAAAAAAAGTCCAAATTACTATTAAAAATTTCGAGCGTGAAACTCAATAACAACTAAATAAACAATACTTAAATTTATAATTTAACAGAAACAAATTAAATTTAGGATTATATTCTTTATACGATTATTTAAAATATCTAATAGAGTTACAGAAATACTCTTGAAACTTAAATAGAAAAAACATAAGAAAAATAAATATGATTAATCTCTACTCGAAACTGACGAAGTAAAAAAGACAAGCTCTTAACTAATTTTTTACTGTTCAAGATTCGAATCTTGGTCGTACTTATCTGAAATAGTTAATAATAAAGGGGGTGAGTTATACTAACTCAGTAAGAATATCAACGTCTTACTACTGATATGAAAAATCAAAGGGTTATAAAACCCATTAAACAACAAATGGAGCTCATTCTTAATAAAACTCGAATTATAGTACATTCATTATTCGTTTCATTGAAAATGTTATTATTTTTTCGACTCACCTGTAAATCCTCAAATGTCATTTATTAAGATAAGAATCAAAATAGCAATTTAATAGTATATATTCTAAAGACATATTGTTATTAACCCTTTACTATTTCATAAAATTGAATTCTTTATCATATTCATTTATATCATTTTACATTTTTTATACCGGTGTAGCTGGGGATCCATAGGGATCCCCATTGCACGTGGACATTAACCATTTCTCTATAATCAAACGGTCGTTTCCATACCATGTTTGGTAATGGGCGTCACAACACACAACCGTCTCAATATCCCTTTCGGTATGAGCGTAATTAAAATAATTTTCAACCCCATCCGGTATGAGATTTCTCAGTCTCGTACGAGTGAAGGTAATGTCTATGATAGGGTTCACCCTCTTCACCAAGTCCGGACGCTCTTTTTCAAAACACCTAGTAAGTCTCTTTTATTCAACACTATTAATTTACGCACATCTTTTTTTTTTATTTACTATTTAACCTTAAAGACACGTATATCTGCATCTCAAGCAACACATGAGTACGAAATTTATATTTCAGAGTATATAAGTGAAATAAACATGTATTATCCCGACATAAATGTATTATGCACACAATAGAACGACAAGACAATATAGATTAAAGAACTTTATCATGTTAGCTATAGATTTAAAGCGAATAAATTAAAGTAAACAGAATAGTGAATAGATAAACATAACAAACGACTGAAAAAATAACTAAAATAATTAAAACTCAAAACAGATATAAACTAACAGGTTACTTATTCCATTGACAACCTGTACTTAATTAATTAAAGAGCCGCCATTAAAATTTTCATTTATTATTAATTGGCTTTAATTTACTCGTAACAAGAAAAAATGTTGATGGATTCTTTCCCTGAATTGGTGTCCAAAACATCACATTTTTCACTACGGTTTCTAATTCTTAGATTTCTTGAGTTTTCCTACTAAGATCGAAACGTACGTCAAAATAGCGTGAAAATACGCGAGAAACGACGAAAAAGGACAAAAATCTCATCAGAGGGTCGGGTTGGGGTTCCGACGCAGTGGTATCGTTGTGCTCTGCTGTCGTGTTCTCCTTCTTCGATGGCTCCTCCTCTCAGTCAGGCCGGTTTTAGCCGGTTCTCGGTAAAAATCTGTTTAAATCATGGTTAGGAGGTGTCTCTCGACGAAAAAAGGGAAAAAAATCGAAACTTACCAGTAGTTTTGGCCTTTCGATGCGTTGGCTCAACCAAGCTCCGTCATTTCTTCCTCGCAGGTTGCAGTTGCTTCAGTTATTTTGCATCGAAAATGTGTTAAGCGGCTAAAAGATGGAGAAACAGAAAGAACGAGAAGAAAAATCGTGTTCACCGGTCCGTTTTAAGTCTCCGGTGCGGCGGCCCCGACGTCCTCCGGTGGCTGGGCTTCTCCTTTAGTCGCCCTACTTTTTCTTCTTTGGCGATGTGCATTCAACTAGGGTTAGGGTTTCGGTTGGAAGAGATGTTTAAAAGTCCCTCTCTCTCGATCTGGGCCGTCCATCCAAGCCCGCGTGGATCCTCCTCAGTCATCCGATTGCATTTATTAAGAAAACAAATCTAGACCGTTCGATCGAAAACGTGTGGGTCGTCCAATTGCGCTTATCCAGAAAATCAATCACTGTTCGTGAGCACAAGAGTGAACATGGGCCGTTGGATCGCCCTAGCACGCAAATCACCCGCATGGTTCCTGTGTGGAGTCTGTGCCAACATGTCCACCACACGATGGATTCTGACTTATCGTGCTACTGACGTGACCATCTTACTTAGTCCGTACTTTTTTTTTTTACGATTTGACCTCTGTTTTCAAATTTTTCTTTTAAATACACTCTCTTTATTTACAGTTACACTCTATTTTTTAAAATTATTTTCAAATTCATCCAAAATTCATATATCTAACAAACAACAATTAAAATTAAACTCTACAATTTTTATTATTATTTTAAAGATTAAATTACACTATTTCGAATATAAATCTCGAGTTCGAGATGTTACAATTAATACTTCATATGTGTTGTTTATGCAATTGAGGTAAGTTGTTCGTAGAGCTTGATTTGCTCAAAACTTGGATGTTTATGGAGTCGTTTACCTCTGCCTGTTATAGGAGATTGGGAGAGAAATTATCGATGTACTTACTCGGTCTTATGCTTAACAACAATAAAACAGATAGAAAGCTCAACAAATGTCTAAAATTTGATAGAGAGAAATGTTTGATAATAGGATTTACAGTCATTACACTGATTGAGAATCTTCTTATCATCATTTCTAAACTAGATTAGAAGATTAAGCAGCAGAATGACACTATTTTATGGCAAAAGCATGGGGGAATAAATTGACCTATATAATTTCCCCAGTTCCTAGATGCTTCCTTGCCACATGTTTATACAATTGTAAATACTAATGATTAGAAACTCGAAAATATACAAAGAGTTCATCCGAACTAACTGAAATCACTTGCAAGAGAATCCAGCATCTCGCAGAAGCCATCCAAGCCTTCAAGATCAAACCAGTCTCTTACCATCTATGGGGTAAAACAAAGCACAGCAATATGTCAAAAAACCATGGGATCCACCTCTGCCAGCAAAAAAAAAACGAGATTAACATAAAAATCATACAAAGTAGGGGAATCTCTCAATGCTGAAATCCTCAGGAGCATCTTTCATGAACAAATTGATGAAGTAGAGAACAAAGTTACCACATTCATCACCATTTCGTTGTTGTGGTACCTGAAAAGAATCATTCAAAAATATTACAAGTTAAATTCAACAGTCAATGATCCAAAAAGAAACCAGGAGCTTGTCATATCATATTTGATCACCTTTGGCACCAATAAAGGAATTTGAGAAATCAATCGTTTGCTCTCACTCCTGCCCTCTGATTCATAAATATCAAACACAAACCTAAAATGGATGCACCACATGTCAATCATTGGAGCTGCTATACTAAAAACAGAAAAACTGACGCAAAATAAGTTATGTATGTATTGCCTAAAATAGATTAAAAATTACATCTTAGATATAAAACTATATATATTACATATAATTTTTTAGGAGTTCATTATTCTTTTTTTTTTCGAAATACTAGGAGTCTATTATTATTATATTAGTAACTTTAAAATTTTATTCTGAAATATCTAGTTTCCTGTTTGTCTCAGTATTAGTTTACTCCTATTTGGAAAATGTTAACTTAAGAGGCATTATTAGATTTAATTTCAGCTATTTAGTGAAATACTTTGGGAATTATTCTATTTTGGTGTTGCGCAGTATAATCAAATTCTTAACTGTGTCGCTTAGATATTTAAGAAATCTTAGATTTGATCTCTAGGTTTTTATCCTACATCCCAAGTAAATAAAGTAGACTAATTTGTCCTACAGCAACAATGATATGCAAATCAGGAAAAGACTATACTTTCTGATATCTGGTTCAAGCCTCCTAGGATTCGCCCTTGCCAATGAATCAAGCAGCAACATGCACGGTCTCCTGGTTTTTGATTCCAAACTCTCATCGAAATTGCAGAAGATCAGCAGAAACCAGTGATTCCTAAAGAAACACCAACTCAAGTAATAAAATTACACGTGGAAAAGAGATCTACCTACTTAGCATTTCAAGATACTTTTGGCACCCACCAGCACACTATAGGAACAAAGACATATTTCTTTGAGAAAATGTGCTTGTTCTTAATCCATAACAGGACATTTCTTCTAAAGGATGCATTCTTATACAAACTAAACCATAAGCAGTCCAGATATATAAATGAAGTCCTTTTATCATCTGAGAAGCTCCTCCACAGAACCCTGCAAATAATCGATGAATAGATGTAGTAAGTGGTTGAAAATTAAGGGAAACTAGTCAACTTTACAGAGACCACAACTTACTCTAAGTAGGATGAAAATGCTTCAGAATCTAGTCTCTTTTTTAGCCTAGAAATTGCATACTTCTTCCGGGTTCTTCTTTGTGAACGTTCACGGTGAGGAAAGTTGTTGAAAAAACATGGAGCAGACCTTTCAAATTCCCTTATCCTTTCCCGAGGTACCCTCTTGTTGTGAGCACGTAACCAATATACAACATGAAGCCAACAGGTGCGATGCTTAGAGATGGGTGTTTCTTCAACCTCTATCAAAATTTAAGAGGATATATCACTTGCACAAATTCACATAATCTTCCAACTTCAAATCTCTCAGCAAAGAAATTTCAGCAGATCAGACCCGAATACAATCAACCAATTTGCTCCAATACATCAGGAACTCGATTGAGTAGAAAAGTAAAGTTTCTACTATGATTTTTTTGCTTTGATTTCTTTTCTTTCTCCCTTTAATAAGTAAATGTTATGTTTTTCCCAGTAGATCAGTTGACAGTAAACTGGAGAGTCGTGATTTGCCATAAGCAAACCCAAAATTATTAACAAGGAATAAAGTTTTAAAGGTAGAAAATAGGTACCATAAACTGGAGAGCCGAGATCACCAGATTTAGCTCCATGCTTGCTAATGTTCCTCCTTCTCATTGATAATGAAGAGAAAAAGTCACAAACTTGTCCACAAGTTGTTGCGGTTACTTAAAATTACTGCAAAATCGAAAGATTTTAAAATCGCTATGATACTTTAACAATTATGAGATACTAAAGTCTGACAGAAGTCTAGACAAAATGTCACTTTCAATAAATTCAGTTACTCAAAAAGTAACGAGTCCAAATTTTATCAACAATTGTAATTGAAAATAAAATGGGCCACTTATTAGTTTTAAGAAATGACTTAAGTTGACTAAAAAAATACAAACTCATAGAACTATTTTTTTTTTGACATAAAATTCAATGAACTATAAACCTTCAATCAATAACCATGAACCTAAAGTTACAGTTGGCCCTTAAATCATAGAAGGAAGACATCATTTACATACAGGAAAATTAAATTGTCGGTGAGTTATAGGAAAATTAAATTGAAAGTGATATACCTCACCAACATAAAATAAGAAAACACTAAAAGTTTCTAATTTGCCACCAATTCCTCCATTCTCAACTCCTTTCATGGCCAATTCAGGGAATCTTTTGTTCATCATTAATTGAAATTACACAGAAATGGGAAAAAAATAACCAGAGCAACAATGCAAAAAAAAGGCGTACAGTGGCATGGGTATCAAAACAGTGACGCAGTAAAGCACAGCAGACAAGTACCTTCACGTGTCGCGAATGGGATATGAAATACGGCAGCAACTGAGCACAATGCTTGTGTATGGAATTTTTAGTAAAAGAAAGATTTTAAAAAATAATAAAATTTCAAAATATTCAAAACAATAAAACGGTAAAAGAAATAAAATTATTTTATAAAATTAGATAGTTACAATTGCAATATTAGAAGCTGTAAATGAAAAAAATGGAAGTGCTGCTCTTGGTGCTGATGTGATTGTCATAGCCTGCCTCTAGATTGCTCAGTGCAATTGGAGATTAAAAATATATTTATAAAGTGTCAAGTAAGTTCTTCTTAAATATGATTGGACTAAAAGATATTATGACTAATAAGATTAGAAACACTACTCCTAATAATATACAAAATACTAATACTAACAAAATTAATGATAATTCTGCTGATACAAATAGGAAAACTAGATACTATTAAGAATAAAATCCTAAAATTACTAAAACCATATTAATAAACTAGTAAATAGCATATTAGTTTTATATCTATAGAATTATGATTTCTTATCTATTTAAGCAATTTAGAACTAATCTACTCTACATTATTCTCTCCTAGTTGGAGAAAACTCGTTCACAAATTTTAAAATGGAAAATGATGTAAAAATTGATACTTGAGCCTTTCCATTAACATTTAACAAATTTTGTGGTTCATCATTCTCTTTCATAATAAACATAATGGAAACATCTAATTGTTTAGGAGTGTGAAACCCTAGCAGGAGGATCGAATCAACATATTAACTAATTTGTTGATGTGGAATCCAAGATCAACAGTGCCAAGTGGAATATGGTTGGCATGCATGGGCACAACATCTCAGTAGACTTTATCCTGATACCTTCCTATGGCAAAAGATCCCATTACCGCATGACACCACAGTAGACTTTATCCTGATACCTTTCTATGGGGAAAGATACCATTAATTGTTTGTTTACCCGAACTCCTCCACATTTGTGCAACCATTGTAGCCCACAGGAACTGGGGTGTTTGGTGTAGGTCAAACCCAACTTCTCAACAAATGTGGTACTAGCTACGTTGGTGCAGCTTTCTCCATCAATGATCATACTGCACATCTTTCCATTCACAAGACACCATGTATGGGATATGTTCTTTCTCTGATCATCTTCTTCCTTGGCTTAGATATTGAGAGCTCTTTTGATGACGTCCATGCTCACATCATTTGTGCTTTAAGTTCATCCTCAAGTTCAACATCGCTAGCTTAGGTTCCTTTTGCATTGAAATTTCAAATATGTCTCTTTAGGTAGTAAAATATCTTGAATAACCTCAAATTTATACTCTTTGGGAGGTATGAGTTGTTCTAGCTTCTCAACTTCAACATACTTCAATGCGATCTCTTTATCTTTTTCATCACAAGCATGTGCTTTTAAATATTTATATTTATTCATCTCTTCTACAGTCATAGATTTTAAACCCACATTTTTTATGTCAAGCATAAAATGATATATATTGGTAGCGTCATCATACCGAACATGTCGAGCATAAAATCAGCGTCGACCTAAAAGCATATGTGTGAACATTATTGGAACTATGTCACACAAGACTAGAAACCATGACAAATAGAAACAAGACTTTGCTGAGTTACCAAAATATTTTCCTATCTGCCTGAGCAAGTCCAGATGAGCATGGTTGAGTATGTGAATTTTGCATGTTTAAAATTTTTCCATCACACGAGCTTTTGTGAAGAGGCTTGCAAAGATAAGAAAACTAGACAAAAATACTTGGGAATCACTCTGAACTGTGGAAAAAGGAAGGGGTAAACTGGTCCAGTTGAACTGCTTTGGTAAACTTGATTGAAATACTTAAAGCATAGCACGGATTTGCAAGCCCCGTCACGGGTTGTGCTCGCATGTGGCTCACATGTCAGCTTCCAGTCATCGGACTACAGCAAGCTTCAATATGTCAAATTAACTAGAAGTGGGGGTTTTAGATCATGTAGCAAGTTGACACACAATTAGGCAGAAGTATAGGATCGAGACAGATAGTAACTGGGAGAACTTGCATCTGTCAGTGACACATTTTTTGATGGAGTTTAGCTGCGGGACTTCAGGGTCTACCAATCAGAATCATCTGATGCCGGTGGAAGACGGTGTTACACACTGTTGGAAATGGCTGGTGATGCACTAGCGGTGATTTTAGGGTTCCTGTGTATGCATTTTGTGTCCAAGTGGTTCCTGGGCTATTTGGGTGTAGAAATTTGAGATTTTAGAGTATAGTATTCCTTCTCGTCAGATGCCAAACTGATGTCAGTAAAGTAAAGCTAATCTGCCTACTTACGGATTTAGAAAGAGAAACCTAGACCACACAATTGGGTTTTTAAGGCAACACATCTAAGAATTCTTAATCATTACACTTAAAAATTTGATTGTACCAAACAATCAAGAAATTGAAAAATTCTCATAATATTTTATTAAATAACTAAGTGACCCTCTCGAAGAGATTATAAAGGCATTTATAGCAAGTCAAATAAGTCTTTCTTGAGTAGAACACTAGACTTAGAGATTTTTTAATACTAATAAGATAGAAATACTAATACTAATAAGATTATAAGTAATAATACTACTACACATTGGAAACCTAAATACTGAGAAGAATAAAATTCTAAGATTACTAAAATTATAATAATAGACTTCTAAATAGTATAGTAATTTTATGTTTGATAGAATTATCGTTTCTAATTTTTTTTTAAATAAAGAATTATAATTTCTAATTGATTTCAACAATCTAGAGCTAATTCATTATGCATCACTAACCCCTGAGCAATGGCACAACATGTCACCATCATCACCTGCGAAAATCCCAAGCACATAAACCATCCATGTCAAAGATAACAGGAACCAAACCATAGAGGAAATCCAGGAATGAAAGAATGTAAGCAAAAGGAGCAATCTTTGAATCCAATGCCAAGAGGCAACATAAATCTTTTAGCATAACCAAATTAACCAAATTTCTTCCTTCAATGAAAAAAAAAATCCATATGAAGAAGAAGCACTCATGTAAACTCAAAGGAATGCATCTATGAGAAGCAAAAAGGAGGATGACATCAGCAGCAAACAGGGGACTATAGAGACATATGAATGGACATGCAAAATAGGTTCAGTTTATTTTGCCTAAATATGTTTAAAATTATAATTCTTTAAGTATAACACAGTTGTACTATTTAGGGGCATATAGTAATAATTTTAGTGACTTAAACTTTTTTTGTATCCAATTTTTCTATTTTTATTAGTATCAGCATGCTTAGTATTATTGGAACTGGTACTTTTTTAGGCAACCTGTTTTTAGGAAATGTTAATTAAGGAACACTATAAATTCTTTGTGTAATCTCACTTTTAAGATAAAACTCAATCATTCAATAAAATACTTAGAGAATTTCCTTGATTTTCTAGTTGTTTAACGCTATCAACCTCTTAAGTCTGATATGCTCAAAAGTACTATGTGAGTCGTCTAAGAAATATTAATGCTGTCTAGTCTTTTATCTCTAAATCACTAAGTGTAGGCAAATTATCCTGATTTGTACTACATCAACACACTAGAGAGGAACCAAGAAACATTAGACTAAATGAAACTGTAACGACCCCGAAAATATTTAAAGGAAATAAATTATAACTTAAGTGTGAAAACGAAATAAATGTTGAAGGTTTACATCCTCTACACGATAACTTAAACAACCAAATGGAGCTGTGGAATTCAGTTAAAGAAAAAAAACAATACAAGAATTAAGGAAATAAGGGGAAAATAAAGAAAACTACCATTTACTCACAATTCTCTTGCGGTTCGGCATCTGGAACTTGGTTCTCTTGATCTGAAATGGTTAAATAATGGATGAACTACACTAACTCAGTAAAAATATCACATTATATTACCAACATAGAAGTAAAAATTGGTATAAAATCAAAACAACTAATTGAGCACTTAATTTAAACCAATACATTTATTAAAACTAAAATCATTTACCGTTCACTTACCATAGTGGGATTCATAAAAACAATCTATACAGACAATAATATTATACAGATCATGATTCCATGTGTAATCAGCAATCATAGCACACATTATAAATCTATGTCCATCATCAATAAATCCACAATAACTATAACTCTTTTTATCAGTCTGCTGGTATTTATGGGGGTTCATAGAAATGTCTCCGCTACGCGTGAATCCTTTCATTCAACATTCTCAATTAAGGGTCATCCCCATACCCCGTCCGATATGAGCATCAATTTATCAAGTCTCCATACCCCGTTCGATATGAGACAATGTTCACGGTATAGTTCTCTATGTATTTAGTCCGTCCACCATCTCCTAAGATATCCAGTAAGGCTGTCGTTTCATCTATTCATTTCATCACACAATTTTTACTGTTTAACCTTCATTTTTTTTTTTTCTGATTCAGCGATAAACACATACAATAAACCATACATGCATTCAAAGTCATAAAATCAATTAATAAGGTATTATCAAGCATTTAAACTGTAAAACAATTGACAAAACAACAGTAGAAAATTTCCAACTCTGACTAGCAATCCGTAATTAATTATGCACATTTTCTAAATTCACATAAAATATCGTATTATTATTTATTTAGACTTCAGTTCTATGATAGGGAATAGGGTGAGAGATTCTTACTCAATTCGATATCTGAAAACTACGCTGTTCAACTGCGCCTACGGACGGTTCCCGGATTTTTCAAATTTTTTTTCAGAAATTAAAACGCACTAATAATACTAACAAATGTCTCAAACAAACCTAAAATCAGTCACAGGGTTCACTTGACCAATTTCGAAATTCCAGCATGGCAACTCCATCGTGCTTCGGCAATGGCACCGCCACCCGTGGCAGCGGTTCGCCTCGGATCGGCTATTTTCAGCCAATTCTGCATCGATCTTTGTGAGAAAACACGTTAAAGGACCTCAGTTGGCCTAAAAAACACACAAAAGCGAAACTCACTGACAACGGGGCTCTCCGGTGCCGCTGCTCCTCCGACTCACGTTGCAGTTGGGTGTTTTGCTCCGGTCAACCTGTAGAGAAGGATACAGTGATCACAACGGTAGAAAAATTACACAAAATGGGAATCGGAAAGGGTCTCATCAGAGGCATTTTGTAAAATTCCCGCGCTGGCACCATCGGGCTTCACCGGCATTTTCCGACCAATTGACCGGTCTTTTTGCTCTAATTTGGCTATGAGTGTGTCTAAAATTGAATTTCGAGCAAAAGAAAAATTTTTCTGGCGATCGAAAAGAGCTCCAGTGCGGCGACGGGTGTCGGCAGTCTCCTTCCCGGCGGCTAGGTCTTCTTCTTCGGCGAGGGGATCTGGCGACTAGGGTTAGGGTTTGGTGTGGATGGAGGTTATTTATATCTGTCCGCTTTTGATCTGGGCCGTCCATCGCGTTTAATCTGAACCGTTCGATCGCGATTAAATAAAGAGTGGATCTGAGCCGTTCATCGCGATTCAATCTGACCCGTCCATCGCGATCTAATCTGGACAGTTTGATCGCGCTTAAATCTGACCGTCCAATTGGTTTTGGGGAGGAAACGCATC